ATCAATGTTTATGCAATGTATTATTTAATTAAAGTTTTAATAGAATAGTATAAAATATCCTAGTTTATTTATTGCAATTTCATTGTTATTTAATTAATTACATGTGCTACATGTTTAGTGCAAGTATAGTTTAGGAATATAGTTTATCATCAAATTATAAACAGACTCGTTTTATTAATTACACTTAAAAATGATAAATTACTATAACGTAAGCATTTACCTGTAAAGATTTATGGCATAATTCACCAGGATATTATCAAAATAGAGGTTCAAAATAACAATATAAATAACTGAGCTCGCATTTTTATTTATAAGTTATTTTGTAAATTATCTAACAGTATTAAATATTTAACAAAAATTTGAAAATGTTTCCCAATCTGCTTGGTGTTTTCATGGGCTGTTCACTGGTAGCGTTTCAAAATGAAAATATTGTTCCCGATTTACTGGATACTCTCCCGCAACACTTTCTCAAGGTAAATCACCATTACCACTTTTAGATTTTAGATTAAATAAACTAATTGTTTCATAATTATGAAATTGTAAGAGTAATACAGTTTACTGTATTACTCGAAATATATTTAGTTTCATAAAATTAATTTCATAAAAGTATTTATAGAAATTTCATAAAACATATTTTTGAGCATGATAAAACTAATAATAAAAATTATTAATAATTAAATGTAATATAACCGTATTTGTCTCTGTGACCAAGGTGACATGGCCGAGCAAAGCGAGCGCCCAATTAGGCAATGAGCTAACAGTGGCTCANAAATATATTTAGTTTCATAAAATTAATTTCATAAAAGTATTTATAGAAATTTCATAAAACATATTTTTGAGCATGATAAAACTAATAATAAAAATTATTAATAATTAAATGTAATATAACCGTATTTGTCTCTGTGACCAAGGTGACATGGCCGAGCAAAGCGAGCGCCCAATTAGGCAATGAGCTAACAGTGGCTCAAACCAAGGACCAGCCCCTACTCGAGTGGCCCGTCTCACCCTCGATGTACGGCTGGATCTACACCCTGATTATGGTGGACATCGACGCCCCCACCCACGAGGCGCCTACCAA